AAAGGCATCCCAAGAGACTCCATCCAAGAAGCCCCCGGCCCATGGAGGCCCCCCGAGCTCTCCGGATGATGCCGAGTTCCCCCGAGAAGGGTAATTCCCCCTGGGCTTCGTTCCTGGATGGACCAGTCGGGGTATTTGTTTCGTCGCGACCGCAGGCGAAGGCGCCAGCGGCGAGTCAGGTCCAAGCGGGCCGCGCAAGAGCCGAATTGCCTAACGCCGACGGGCTGGCGACCTCAACAGCGCCTCGGCGGGCGGGCCGGCGAGAGGGGGGGTGCAAGCTGCAGCTGCCAGGGACCAGGTCCAGGGGCGCGCACAAGCAAATTGACTAGTCGGGGTACGCGAAGCGTTAAGAATTCTGAGATGTCCATCTCGCGAATAGCACGGTATCCGACAGCAATGGAATGCGCTGCTGGAGAGAGGTGCTGGTACGCTGTGCTCGTTTCCTTTTTCCGGGATGCAGTCGTCCTTCTCATCCCCGAGGCTCGTCGTCGTCTCCTCTCATCTCTTTCCTGCCTGCCTTTCCTGCCGTCCTGGGCGCTGCGCACTCGGGCAAGCGGTCCGTCAAGAAGTCAGTTTTCTGCGGGGTCGAGGGCGACGGCCCTGGGACGGGGGCAGCAAGCCTAGGGCGGGGGGGGGCGTCCTCCTCTTGCCGAGCCAGACAGTGCGCCTGTGGTTTTTGAGGACTGAGGGGGACCCTTGGGCCTCTTGTCGAGCTTTTGTGGGGTCGTCTGAGGGGCCCTGTTGGTGCTACGTGTGGCCAGTCTGGAGCTATCTTGGGGTCTCTTGGAGACTCTTGGACCATTCTGGTGCCGTCTTGGGGCCAAAGGTTCGCCAAGGACGCTGGCCCTCGTTAGCCCCTTGTCGCAACCTGACCAGGTTTGGGCCTCTCTTGGGGCCCTGCTAGGGCCGTCTTCGGAGCCTCTTGGGAGCCCCTGAAGCTCGGCCCCTCCGGGGCCCTCACCTGAGCCGTCTTGAAATCATCGCAAGGCCCCATGACCCCACCGGGCGAAAAATCATGTAGCAAAAACAACAGCTGTCCAAAGGCTTGTGCCCAGGCCTCTTGAACGCCTCACACTCCGTCCTGGAGGCTGCAGCAGCAAGCGCCTCGCGAAAGGCAGGAGAAGGGTGGAGCCGGCCAGCGGAGGACAGGAAAGAAGAAGGGGGCATCACGTACACACGCAACATGTTACGATGCGATTCGCCAGGATCAAGCGAGCAAGAAGAACACGGCCAGCCACCAGCCCGCAGACAAGCTTTCGTAATGCGTCTCGTCTTGTCTTGCCTTGCCATGGCTATGTGCAACGCGGGGCACTCCAGTCCCGTAACGTAAACATATTGACACACACCAAAAAATGCATGTGTCAATCAGTTTCGTTTCTCGACGGTGGCTGTCCCTTGTTGGTTCTTCCCGCAACATTGAAGAAATCCGATGCCCCCTTGCAGCCGTCTCGGGGCCGACTTGGTGGCCTCTCTGGGCCTCTGAACCCGTCTTGGGAGCGTCCCGAGCCCGCCCGGGGCCTCTCCTGGTCCGTCCTGCGGCCGCCCAAAGGTCTCAGGAAGCCGTCGGAGGCAGAGAAGCGGAAAAACACACACAACCCCACAACAAAAAACCTGGGTGTTGGAATGGCATTTGTGAAGGGGCCCCAGGACACACAAATAAATACACACAAATAAGAAGATTCCCCATGTTTTCCCATATTTTCTTGGGGATCGACGATTAATTGTGTCTGTGTGTTTTTCCCCCTCCTACATTTGCCTCTCCGGGCCAGCCTCGAGAGGCTCCGTGCCCTCCGCCGGGTCGTGCCGTGGCCCACGGGATGCCTCCACGCAGCGGCGCCGATGTGCCATTTCACCAACTTCCAAGCATGTGCGCGTGCCCTGTCCGCCTGACGAGGGCCCATGCCATTTCGTATTCGACCTTGCCAGACCCGTATTGGATACGCCACACGCGGTATACCCTCCTCCAACCCAATGCCCACGGGTCTGGACAGGAGGTCGCGAGCAGCTAGAGCGCCCAGCATGCCCCAAGACGGACCCAGGAGGGCCCCTGTAACCCGAGACGGCCAGCAAGATGGCCTCAGATGGTCCAAGATGATTCCCACCTGGTCCCCGAGGTCCAGAAAGATGATTTCCCCAGGCGGTGAATGTGTGCAAATCCCTGCCTCGGACTGTAAGCCCTCCGCGTCGGCACCGCCGAGCGGAGGCGAGGCGCGCGCGAGCGCGCGCGGTCCCGCGAGCACGCGACGCGTGGCGTTTCAGCTGCTCCCGGCCAGCCACGCCCCCTCGGGCACCCAGGCGATCATCTTGAAGCGCTGGCTCCGCTCCTCTCGGGGCGCGATACAATCAAGTCGCATACTAAGGATGCGCGGTAAGGATGCAAGGTCCTTGGATGGCCATGTGGGCATCGTCGAACGGGATTGGCCAGCGAGTCGCCAAGGATGGGCCGAAGGGGCCAGGGCCAGGATGCCAGGGTAACGCTGGAAAGTTGCTCCTCCTGACT